AATGCATTAGAGAAAATTAAGTTCAAAAAGCATTAACAATGCTATAGTCCATAAGTACTGTAACGCAAGGAGAATTGACTTCATCATATCTAACATGGAAGTAGTGCCCAGGCAGAGTATTGAAACTCTAGAATCCGACCCAAGACTCAAATGGCTACGCTATTTCACCATCCTGGGCACAAAAATATGATAGTTTTTCAAAAGTATGTTAAATGAGGAAATAATGTCATTCTTGCTATCAATCGAATATTTAAAATAGAATTATTGATAATTATTATAAGTGGTTTGTTTTCTACTTCTGACTTTGAAATGATGAAGAAACAAACATATGAAATGAGCGAAAATGAAGATAGATGATTAGTTGAATTTTAAAACTAATTTTTCAAAATTTTTTCTGTATAAAAAATATCAATGTAAAAATTGCATAAGAATATTCATTTGTAGAAAAAGAATTATTGTTAATACACAGTACGAAATTGTTTCTTATAATATACAAAATAGAGCAGTTTCTATATGATACGTTGTTTTTTTTTGCCACAATTATTAAATATCTGCACATTTAAATTCAAGCTAATAAAGTTTTATATTGAGAGACGGTAACAAATAGCTTCATTGAGAGTTTCAATGTATCAATTGATCGATTGATGAACAAACAAAATAGATGATAGTTAATTTCATTATATATTGATAGGTTTTACAATTGTCTTTTCATATTTCTTATTATTTTCTTGGATCGAATTGAAAATATCATAAGCTTGAAATAGACTATAAACCAATATAAATTTTTAAAAAAAACCAAAGTTTTTACAAGTTCATAAGGTTTATTTTTAGAATAAATCAAGCGTCAAAAAAAACAAAGATGACTTACTTCCAAGATACGTATTCATATCAGTATCTATCTTACTGAATATTGCACGTGTGTTCTCTTCATTTTTTTTTACTTACTTCATTTTTTAATTGCGTAGATTAAATTATAATATACTGATAAAACAATAGTAATTGATAATTTTAGCTTATATTTATATTTAGATATAAGATTTATAAAGTAATTAATTATACTTTTATTCAAATTCTTTATTATGAAACATTAAGATGTCTATCGAATAAAAAATAAAATTTTTCGTCGATTGACATCATATCTTTTAAAAAAATTTTATTGATACAAATGTCTCACAATTAAACACAGAAAAAAGATAGATATAAAATAGAAAAAAAAATAAAAGTAAAGAAAATTTATGATTTACTGTCTCCACCACAACAACCACTACCTTCTTTTTGTTTTGGTTTAGTCGGAGGAAAAGCACCATGTGGTTTATTTAATGTACTTGTTGGCTGTTTGGCTGCAACTTGTTTAGCAACATTCATAAATATTTCCGTTACATTGTCACCTCGTTTAGCTGATGTTTCCATAAAAATAAGACTATTCTCTTCAGCATACTCAGCTACTTCACGTGTATCTACTTGTCGTTTATTTCCTGTTGCTAAATCTGCTTTATTTCCTGCTAAACCAATAACCATATCACCAGCATTGACTTGACGTAATTCTTTAACCCACATTTTAGCTCGACGAAGAGACTCACTATTTGTTATATCATATACGACAAGTGCAGCTTGTGCACCACGATAATACATTGGAGCAAGAGAATGATATCTACAATATTCATTTATTTATAATAATTTGACAAAGCAAATAATATAACAATCGAATTTACCTTTCCTGACCAGCTGTATCCCATAATTCGACCTTGAGTGAAGTATCAGAATCGATTTGTAGTGTATGTGTGAGAAAAGCAGCACCAATAGTACTTTCAGCATGTTCTTGATATTGTCCTTTAGCAAATCGAAGTGCTAGAGAAGATTTTCCAACAGCCGATTCACCTAATAGAACCATTTTAAATTGACCGGGACGACGCATTTTTTATGTTGATGAAAATGGTTTGAGATGAAAACAACGTAGTAGTAATATTATTGCTTCTTGTTAACTGTTTGTTTCTTTTGATATCTACCTGCCACGCTTGTAAGTGACTCATCTACATAAGTCGCTTGCTTGTCTTATCTTTTGTGATATGAGAAAAGGAAGATGTTGAAGAATAAAGTATATAGTTGTCCTATACGAACTAATCTTTGACTATCATTTATAATGTGTTCGTGAAAAACTTTTAATTTGTTTTGAACTAATCGTAAAATATTTGAGAATTTTGAAAAATAAAAATTAATTAAATAATATCAATAAAGTTTATACCATTAGTCATCAAATATTTGCCTATAAGAATAAAGTAAAATATATGTGAAATTGTAATATCTCTGCTTCGGTTCGCTCTTGAATGGACTAATTTTTTGAGTTAATAGTAGAAGCTTAATTAAAGTTCTTTTTTTTGTGTACACAAATACTGCTGTCAAGTTATAGTTTTAGCCTTACTAAAGAAATTTTATCTATTGCCAAGTAAGAAAAATACATATGAAGCATTTCATAGGATATTTTCAGTTGTCATCAAAGAGAATAATAAAAAGAAGTCAACGAGAACTACATTAATGTGCACAGTATAAATTTTCAAAATTAGTCAGTTTAAAATGGTAAAATTCATGTGCCCATTAGTAAAATGCACAATTATAGTCCTTTGGGCAGCAACTTCGTTACAAAAACCAGTATTCCATGTTTGAAAAATTTGAAATTAGTTCGTTTTGATTTATTCTCTTAGATTATTATACACTTTAGCTATTATATATAGCAAAAATTTCCCAACATTTCACTGAATATTGAGCGAGACTCATGATGTAGAGTTCAATTTCTACTTAATTCAATAATTAAATTGGTTTTATTCGATGAAATAGCTTCAGTTATTTTTTCAACTCTGTGTGGAAAGCAAGTAGTCAAAAACAACTGACAATACATTCGAATTTGTTCATCACATTCTTTTGAGTTAAATGATACTTGAAAAGAATATTTTTGAGTAAGTTAAACTAGAAATATATGAAGAAAAAGTGTCACTGCACATTCTCCCCCTCCCCTCCCCCTCCTCCCCCAAAAGAGGTCATTGTACACTTTATAATATAATTTGAATATTCGTCTACATGAGCAGTCATTTTCTGTCACTGTATATAAAAAAAGAAAAAAAAGTGTCTGTTATCAAATGTTGAGAGTAGAAATATACGAATGGAAAGATGTATAGACCAATGAATCATATGTTTTGATAGAGTGATATTCAAGTTATAAAATGGCCCATTTACGTTTCTTTTTCTATTTCGTTCTTGTCTCATATAAATGTCGTCTTTACACACGTTTCGCTTAAAATTGACATTTTTTTTCTAACTGTAAACTCTATACTCTGGAAAGATACAAGATAGAAATATGAAATGTAATGTGGACGTGAGAGAACAACAAGAAGATAGAATTTACAAAAAACTACTTTGAAATCATATGATAGGAATAAAAGCTATAGCACGCAGATGCTCTAAAACACTAATTGTATAAAGTTGCAATACATTCATATATATATATATATGAGTAGGATGTATTGATTGTTAATGTTCAATTATTTTTATCAAAATTGATTGATTGCATAGATAAATTAATCGTCAAAAGATGATGAAAAATATACTAAAATGATTGAAAATAGAGAATATTCAAACATATCCGATATTCGATATAATTTCTAAAATAAAAATAGACATATATTATAATTCAATTTCTGATTTATATATAAATTCATTCTTAATTAATAATAACAATCCGATCTATTTTTAAACAAGTTTATTTTTTTCTAAATATGAATGTATCAAATTATTACGGTAATATTGCATATTTCAAATTCAAAAAATTCCGAAGTAATTATTAATATTGAAGAAAGTCAAATAAAAAGCGTCCATTTTTTGTCAATATTGAAAATATAAACAAGACATTCTATAGCAAGATAATACTCATTGTTTTTTATTTTTAAAGAGAAAACTGACAATTGTGTTCCATCAATGAATCCGTCAGATTTTATTTATATTGATAATTTTCTACTTTTTTTTTTTCAATAGTAGAAATCATATGTTCCAATTATAATTTCATCAAAAACATTTCGTAAATTAATAATATGAGAAAAATAAGAATAATTCAGAATTTTCGTTTAATAAAATGCATCGAAAAATTATTGAAAAAATATATCCAACTAAAAATGAACACATGAACTTAATATTGATCAAATGATGAACAATTTATTCTATATAATAGTTTTCTTTTATTATATTAATCTATTAAAATAAATAATATCAACTTCATTTTTTCAATTGTAAAAAAATAGAATTTCTATACCGTAATTCTAATGAAAAAATTGGTTCGTCATGACAAAAAAAAATAATGAAACACATTCATCTATAAACCAATTGCATATTATTTTTATATGTTGTTTGTTTTTATTTTCTCTGTATTCATTCACCGTAATTTTGTATCGAAAAAAACTCACTCGACCATATCGTTTACATTAATTGGTTACTTCATCATTCGAATATTTCCACGTTGTATAGAATGCCTGTTAATACTGATGATAAGGATGCACAACGTGCTATTGATTATATGAGTGGAGCAAGATATAAAGGTGATTATAAAAATGGTAAACGAGATGGATCTGGTAAACTTATTTTAAATAATGGATCTTTTTATGAAGGACAATTTGTCGATAATGAAAAACATGGTTTTGGTACATATAAATGGTCAAATGGTTCTATTTATGAAGGACAATTTGAATATGATCAACCACATGGAAAAGGAAAATTAACATCACATAATGGAGATTCTTATGATGGAAATTGGGCTAATGGTAAACGTCATGGACGAGGTAAAACAATATGGGAAAATGGAAATAGTTATGAAGGTTCTTACAATCAAAATGAAAAACATGGTCATGGCACACATATATGGCAAGATAAAGGATCAATATATACAGGCGATTGGCAACATAATGTCCCTCATGGTCAAGGACGATATCAATATAGCAACGGTGATGTATATGAAGGTGAATTTAATCAAGGAAAAAGACATGGATATGGGAAACTAACATATGCTTGTGGAGATATTTATGATGGTGAATATGTTGATGATTTAAAACATGGTAATGGAAAATTTTTATGGGCTAATGGTGATTCATATCATGGACAATTTGTTAATGGAACTCCCGAAGGTACTGGAGAATATATATGGGCATTAAAAGGTTCAACTGTTACATCAACATCTCCTGTTGAAAGAAAATCAGTGAAATCTGAAAAGAGAAATTCAAGAAAGAGTACTTCACGACACACAAATGAAAAACGACTTACACAATCTGAATCATTACACGGACATACTCAGAGTAATAGTGGTAATTCAGAAGCATTTTAATAAAAACATTAAAATAATTTTTCATTTGATCAAATAAATAGAAATTTCTCTAATATAACAACCTAGACATCGTTAAAAAAAAAAGGTATATACTCATTCTGTCAAAATAAAAACAGAATGTCAATTCAAGAAATGTTTTTATTAATTCACAGTTGTCAAGAATGTTAGTTACTTGCATCGTGAAAATCATAAGCTACTTTTTAACATCTCCGGTAGCTGTTGTTATTTTTAGCGAGCAAATGTCTATATTCATTCATGATATTGTCACGTTTTTTTAAATTTTGTGTTGATTTAAGTCTTGTATTTAATTAATCTGCTCACCAGTTGACATTATTGACAATACAGAAATATTTTTTTTGTGCCTCTCTTTTGTCATTTCTATCTGTCGAACATTATAGACACTCTTATAATCTTCTAACTTGGCAAAATAATAAAAAATCTATAAGAGAATCAATATTAGACGCCTCTTTTTTTTTCTTTCTTTATATTATTCTAATATAAAATATTGAGATAAATCTATATTGTTCTA